GAAGTTGAACAGGAATGGCGAAAACGACAGTTGTCTTAATCAACACTGATCACAAATAGAAAAATGGTTACGTTTTACCACTAAGCATTTCCCGTGTCTGTATTGTTTCTTGTATATCACGTGACCTTTATCCGCCACTTATCCCCGTTCTGTACGCAGGTCCGTGTGGTAGGCGTTATCTACTTTATCTTGTCCATGGGCAATATCGTCACTGTATGTCGTGTGATTCGGCAGAAATTGTTTCTCCCGCCTCCCAGTGTGGTGCGGTTTCAGCTCAGCCGAAAATACAGTTTCGCCAAACCACAAATTGACAGTGTCGAATTGGCCGAGTTGCGTCGAAAGTACAACTTCGATCATGACAACACTGCCGAGCAGACGAAAAAAACGAATACGACAAATGGTCCTAAAGATGAAGAAGTTTTCGTTCCAAAAGAGGGGAAGAAAACCGCGTGAGTGTCAAACAGCCGTCACTCGGGCAGCAGCACCACGTTCGGATAGTACGCAGTCCCCTCACACACGCACAACCGGATCGCGAGACACAAAACCCATATTGGAGATAGTCTGTGGTCTTGAGTCAAAACGCAAACTTTGCTTATCAGTTTAATATCTTTTCTTGCTTATCCTCCGCGCTGGTCCTCGCTCCAGTTTCTCTGTTGTGCTCACAAACTGTCCATCGGTCAAACGCTGTTTATTTTGCTTCTCGATGCTACTCATCACGTCATCTCATGCGTGGTAGTTGTCGAATTATTTTTTGTTTTTACCATCTCGAGTGCAACGGAGTCCACACGGGAAGCGTGGATAGAGAGCGTGTGCGTTTGCACTGGGGTTAAACTGGTGGGTGCACGGGATTCCCATTCTCTCTCTCTCTCACTCTCTGTGTATACTTGTATGTACCATTTGATTCAACCCCCCTCCCCCCCACACACACATACCCATCGTCCCCCGTTTCACTCTTCAAACGTTGTAGTTGTGTCATCATACGATTGTTTATTCACCGATCCACTCACCATCTGCCACCTCCTAGTCTGTACAATCTGCCTGGAATCGGTCATTCCACACGCCGTGTTACCTCCTGCCCCTCGCCCCCGCTGTTTTTGGCCACTGTTGCCGTCAGACAATTGAGAGCATACTATTTCCACCTTCCATCACCGTCGTCCACATTCAATTTTATCCATCCCTGTGTTGATTGATTGTCGAAACTCGCATTCGTTGAATATATATCTTCTCTATTTACTCATTGCTTTTTTTAAGTGTAGTCTACGATTTGGTTCCACGTGCATGTTGCCGGGTCCCTAGTGTACGAATATCCTTTGTACTTCACTGAGTTTCACAAGCTATGAGCTACTTCCAACTCACCTGGCGGATNNNAACGGAGACGAATTCCAGTTCAACCACGGGCATTCACTCACATACGGTTGAAAAGCAACCTGCCGTATGTATGTATGTATGTATGTATGTAGACAGTCATAGGATTAACAAACACGAGCACCAAGTGCAAGATTGTTTTAACTCACTATACTTTCAATGGTCCAATTCCTGTAGGAGAGGTTTGCCTATTTTTTGACAGCTAATCAAGAGACCACTTGGAATACAAACCAGGCTTTCGCATATCGATTCGGCCTGGGTGATTAACCAACCATAGATCAAATAATCCGGCATGTCAGACTGGTTTCAGTGCATCTGTCTACAACGATGCACAGTTTTCCCTGTGATGCAGGGATAACTGGAAAAGCCACGTGACCTTTGCCGCTGGTTAAATACGTGCAAATCCGTTTCCCTGTTTGTTTGTCGGATAAAATGAACGACTTGTAAGCGACGCGATATCACCAGCTGTTTACCAATCTGTTGAGCAATTTGAGTGTCTGATTCGGTAGCTGCGCAAAACTTACCAAATACGGTAAGATTGGAGCAGTTTTTACGAGGATTATATCGATTTTTGCTCACGGCTTTACTCAGCCAGGTCAGTTAAGTTGCGGTTGTGGAATTTAGTTGTTTCCGATCTCGCACAATGTGACCTGTGCTTAGGTTTGTGATTTTGGTGCCAAATCCAAAATCCGTCGGTTTGTACTAGATCAAATCAAGCAACTGACTTGTCTACCATTTGTGGGACGGGCTGAAGTGATTGAATGTAGCTCGGCTTCAGCGGGCCTATTATTCATTGAAGTGGTGCAATGTGTAATCAATATTATACTAGGATTAATCAAATGATCACAGCTTTTTAATTCCTTTTCGGTGAGGAAACTGATCAACCAGACGTTAGTTAAATCCCATACCACCTTAAATCTATTGAGAAAGTCAGCATTGGTCGAGCAGTGTATCCCGTCCGTCCGTAGACCGTGAGTTCGAACCTCGACACCGCTGCCCAAGTTTCCTGTCCAATTCCTAGTGGTGTTAATTCAGCCGGTAGCCCCTAGTTGATGAATTGATATTTGTGGGTTGGTGGTGTCCCGGCAGTAAGGTCACCAAATGATCACCCCAGGGATGTGTTCGAATCCCACCATCACCGCCTGGCAGCCCTTTGATTGACCGCTTCCTCCTTCCTGAAAATTGCATCGTTGTGTATGCAATTAAATGAAGTAAAAATGAAAATATCGTGTATCAAATAAATAAACCTATGCTCACAAAAGCGACTGGTTCAAACTTAACACTTACTCTGACCTCACCAACACCCCAGTCACAATCGATCTCACCCAAACGCGGACACATGGGTTCACTCATCCTGAATGACCTTTCGACCCAGCATGAAAATTTATCCCCACTAACACCAAACCCTTATATAATCTGTGAAGGCAATTTTTATTACATGCCTTAGTGTGATTAACAGTAGTCGGGTCGGGTCCCATAGTCGTGAGAACTTTCTGTCTAGGGACGAAAATCGGTAACCTAAACCACGGCACTTGGAGTGGTGAATTGCNGCCCCATTAGGTTAGATATGGTACTGAACCCGACGACACCAAAGTTGGATGACGGTGGCGTGGCTTGAACCTGGGACCACAGGGTCCAAGGCACGCCGGTGACGACTACTTGTGATCATAAATCATTCGAAATTATTATCGTACAGCGAAATACAGTCAAGCAAATTTCACTGATCGCTGCCAAACTCGCAATGCGTACAAGGTTAGTGGTAAAACTTAAGGCGGACAGGGATTGGATCTATTTTGAGAGAGGGAGAAGAAGGTGAACCACTATGGTCAACTCACAGAGTACGCAATCGAACTCTGCATACATACTGTTTCAAGCATTCTGACCTGGTAAGAAATGGCAACGAGAACGCCACTGCTGCCAGTTCGCTGCCATATCCTTCAATGTCTCCAACCAATCAGTTTTGGAGTCTTTCGGATCTCAACCTGGAAGGTGAGAGACAGCTACTCTATCTAATCGCTCTGTGCATTTCTTCATGCGTCGTCTCCACATCATCTGTTGACCTCCACGTGGTTTCCACCAGCCCGAATCAGCCACAGCGAATAAAACGCGGTGCGGAATCATTCGAAAACGAAGAGGTGTTATTGTTATTATTTTTTGTTTTATGCATACCTGTATCCTTCAATCCCTTTTACTCCGAACTTCCGTGCTCATAAAAAGAGCCCCCTAAATTGATTTAAAAAGCTACTCGTGCATCCATTCCTCTTTTCGGTCCCACTAGTGGGACCAGATTCACCGGAGCCAGAGACAACAGCCCGAAATATTTATGGTTGCCAACACGGAAAACAGGATACGCCTTTTCCCAACAAGCTTTAGCCAAAACCCACAATCCTTTAGCCGAGACCCGTAGCCTCGACACCACAGTAGGCGAGTTAGATGAAAAAGTATCGGAATATCCTGAAATCAACGAATTTTGAGAAAAATCATTTTCTATAAATGTTGATGTTGCAAAGCTTGGTTAAGAAATAAGGTGTGGGGTTTGCATACTGCAGCACATGTTGATTAGAGAAGCTTTAACCGATGTGCCCGTATCGTCAAACTATTTGGCATCTCTTGTACAGCTTCAGTGTTTCTGTATAACGCGCGATACTCCTAGGAGTAAACATCTCAAGTGTAATTCAAACGATACATTGTTTTTGCATTGACAAGCCGTGAAATAAATCAAAAATTATATTGAAAACAATGTTTTCCCATCACGAATTTGAATAAAAAGAGTCAGAAACATGGGTTTACTCAATCTATCCATCTGTACAGGTGCATACTGCAGTCTAAGTGATTTTAATATAGTCAGTGAGATAACTAGCGTGAAATGAAGACATGATTGCTAATCACAACGCACAGCATGACACAGTAACACAAAGAACGGGAGAGGGTAGAGGGGGTCGATCACCAAGGTCTCGTTCGCACAATATTTTATCGAGCACGTGAAATATGCTCAGAGGGCTCTTTAAACGACCATACTGACCTCTTAAAAGAAGGTCTGTACACAAACGGATATCCCTTTGCATTAATCGCCAAACACTGTAAAGCGACACCAAAAGTAGAAAAACCAATAACTGCTCCCAAAATGAAAGCTTTTTCCGCAACCGGTTGAACTCTGCCGTCAAGCGTGTCTACTACGCAGTTGACCCGGTCATTGTCTTCACTACCACCCGGATACCTCCGACAAATCTAACTGTATTTATCAATTCAAGTGCGGATGCTCAGCAGGACAGAGAGGCAGTTACGGCACTGAGTGGCCAACACATCCCGGTGTGGCTGGCTTAAGAAAGCGATGGACGACAAGTTCAAAACTGTTATGTCATTGAATGAGCGGAAAAGACTCAGATCTTCGATAACACAACACTTGTTCGAACAAAAACACTGCGTCACTCCAACTCACGCATTTCAGGTCATCTACAACACAATAAACACAAAGTTACTGAAATTTACCGAGGCTCTAGCCATTCATGCTCTCTCAAACCCGATCTAAGCAAACAACGTAAAAGGTTACTCACATTAGCTTTGAAGCATTGAGTTTCCTTTATCCATTTCATCAAAACAGAAAGAAGACAAATGTCGCGAGATGTTAACATTTCGTTTAATCTTCTCAGTCGCTGACCGAAAACAAACAGGCACACATATATAGCACATGGAATTGATCAAATATGGTGAACGAACGTGTACAAACATACAAATATTACTAAATTTAGAAGTAGAAGGTCAACTCCACGGTAAGTGGATTGCTTGTATCAAAAACTTCTGTGCGCAAAAAGGTCGGGTGATGTAATCGAATAAGCAGTGCTTCACTAAACGCCAAAAGTTTAGCCTCGCGATTACGTAATAATGGGTTGAAAAACGAATTAGGGTCAACTGTGTGTCGTGTTGCCATGAGATGTTTTGCAATAGATGATCTTGGATTTATTGTAATCACTTGGTCATCATTTATCGGTTGCGTCATCGATTTCACCAACCACTTTGGAATATGTTCGGCCATCCGTTGTTGAGAGTTGACAGTTTCTTCTGCCTATTTTCGGGTCACCGCAACTGCA